TGGGTAATTGATTAACCACGATTCTGCTTAAACGGCTTGACGTAAAAAGCTTATTTTTGGCAAACGGATTTTTCGAAAGTCAAATTCCCTCAAATATTACCATGTTATATAATAATATAATAATATCGCCATATTGTTTTTTCTCGTGCTGACATAAATTTGAGAAAATTTTATCCAGTTTGTATGTTAATGGAAATTCTTGCTTTGTTTTATCATCACCATTACAAATGATTAATTCGATGCGAAAGAAGTCGCGGGTACACGCTTGTTACTTTATATTACTAATCGTCTCTTTATTACTACTGAACGCCAGAAATAATTAGTAATTCATCTTCCAAAAATTAATGAGTAATATTTATGGTTCATCTTAATACAACGTTCTAAACATAATTTAAACTTTATCAAAATAAAATCATCTATAGCTTCACAAATAGATGTTTATTTTCTTCTTCTGGTTATATAGATTTTTATCTAAACATGTTTGTCTCGTACCAGTGGCGTAGAACCTTACAAAAAAAGTCACGCGACCACTCCCAAAAGTGGCTCTTTTTGGGCTGCAAATCGTCCAAATAAAGCAGCAAATTAAAAAATCTTAATTTATTAATATTTATTTCAAAAATCACTCCGTATGGTATATGGTATTTTTGGAATGGAAATTCAAATATTGGAATGGTAAAGCCTTTGACAAAAAATATACAGTATTCCATTTAAAAATATACAACTTTGGTTTGAAAGCAAATATATTTGAATCACCTTGTATGTTGACGAAAATATTTTCAAAATGTACGTTACCATTGCCACCATAGTACGTGAAAAAATTGAAATAAAATTCACAAACCCAAAACAAAATATAGTAGAGCTTTTTAAGTCTGAATCATCGTGTAAAATCGGGAAAATTAAAATAGTTATTTTCTCAAGAAAAGTTATTAAATTTAGAGGCTCTCGTTGTGGAAACGCTACTCTCTATTACTACAGCTATATAAATCGTCTATAGCGAATTTCAAAAAATTTCCACGCCATAACACGCTGTATCATATTGAAATTTTGCACGCCTTATTTTTTGCCATCCTCAATATCTATTCGCAATAACATTTCACTTTATAGATTCTAGAATGTTCCTCGCCTGTATAACTATCGATATCGAGCAATACAGACACAGAGTTGCAAGAGTTACAGTCAGTTGAGTAGACAGTTAAATAACTGGTAGTTAAAATGTTAATAGCCTGTGATAAAATTAGTTGACGGAAGTAAACAAATAGTGGAAACTTAATATCACATAAATATAATGGTCAGTCTGGGTTGCAATATCATGGTAATACAGTAAATCGAATTTTATACAGATAGTTTTTTACGCAATGTTTTATAAATATGGAAATAGTCCAGTTTATTTCAATGTAATTACTATTTAGTCAACATGTTTAGTTAGGTTAGTGAAAAATGTGGTAAATATATATTTTCTTACTCAGTAGTTGTATACAGGTACGGACGAAAAGTTATTAGGTACCTTTCAAACCAGTTAAAAATATGTAGGTGGCGCCTTCTACAGGTAGGACTCATATTGACCTCAATATCAATTTTTAATGTCTAAAAACTCCCAGATACCAGTTTTCATCCAAATAATGATGTTACTTCAGAAATTATTTGGAAAAAAATCTAAATAAAAATGAAATTTATACACCCTGTATCTCCGAAACTAAGCATTTTAGGACATACATTTATACTAAAAACGTTCGTATAAATGTGTGTCCTAATTTTTATCTGCAAAATATGGTGCCAAAGTTTTCGGAATACAGTTTGGACCACCTTGTATAGTTAAACACTATACCATGAATTACATATTACGTGCACTTATTAGTACACATTACATATTACATGCACTTATTAGGACAGAGATAAATATAAATGACCGGTTGACAGACAGAGAGACAAAATAAAAAGCGGCATACAGTGTTGCCTGTGTTAACCTGTGTAGGAAAATGTGTGTAGAAAAAAATTACCTATTTTAAAAACTTCCATGTCTACTATTGAAATGAAGATAATATCTTCTTTCTTCTTTCTCAGCCTGGTTCCATCCATGTTGGATATAGGCCTCTTCTAGGTTTTTCCATGCTTCGCGATCTCTAGCCAATCTTATCCATTGTCTTCCCGCCACTGCCCTGACGCCATCGACCCATCTCTTTTTTGGTCGGCCCACACTTCTTGTTGTTCCCCTAGGTCTCCATAGGATTACTTTTTGGGGCCATCGGTCTGGATCCTGTCTTGTCACATGTCCTATCCATTGCCACTTCAGACTTGCCACTCTTTTAACGACATCTATTAATTTTGTTTTTTGACGTATGTGGGTATTCCGTATTTTTTCTCTAATGGTGACTCCCAACATGATTCGTTCCATGGCTCTTTGTGCTACTCGTAGTTGTTCTGCTGTTTTTCGGGTAATTGCCATAGTCTCTAAGCCATACGTAAGCACAGGTAGAATGCAGCTGTCGTAAGCCTTTTTCTTTAGGTTTTCTTTAGGTTAGATCACGTTAGATCAGAAGATAATATATCTAAGCTAAATATAATATATATATATAATATATCTAAGCTAATATAATCTATTACAGGTGTAGTAAAATGAGTAACTAATTATGAAAAATAAAGTTCTAATCCTAGATGCAACATTTTTCATAAACGCCTACATGAGCGGTTTGAAATTTTGATGCAAAATCCGGCAATACCGCATAGAAGAAATGTATCAATCCAACTTTTATCTTTTTTTAATACATTTGATTTTCCATTAAACTGTTTACATCACTCTCATACATGTTATATTGGCAACCTTACTTGTTAACATTTCCGATTTTATCGGAAGTTGGAAGTTGTTGCCAAATTGCTTATTTAAAATAGACAACACCGTATGTTATATTTTGGCACCTCTATAAGTGAAGTAAAAAATAGTTAAAAAAGAAAGTGAACATAGAAAAAAGTGAATAATAAAATATTTAAAGATGTATTTACTTTAAAATTGAATAGTACATTTTAAAGACATATTAGTGATTCAGCACCTAAACTGACATAATTAATTTCAAATTATTATTACAAAATTATTCACATATTTGAGTGATAATAGTGATCTATGCGAATAGGAATATAAAAATGAGTTATTTAGTATTTGTGGAAAAATGAAAAAAGTTAAAATGACTGTCGTTTAATTGCAAACAGAAAAAGTATATTTTTCAATTTTTCTTTTTAGACCGGAAAGATATAAAATATCATAAACAGTTTTATGCCTATTATAATGTTTGTTTTAAAAAGCTAAAACGTGTTACTTATATGTACATGTTATTTTATTTTTAAATGCAGGGTCCGGTAATAGTGCGCCGGGCATCTGTAGCTCCTATAATAAAATTTTCCTTTTTTATTATAGGAACAAGTATAAGTGTAAACGTAAAATAATTACTATAGACGGAGAGGCTACGTAAAATAAACTTTATCATCGTTACATGGTTAATTTTTCTTGTGAGGTATCCTTTCATGTAGCCGTTATGAAATAGTTATGTCTGCCAGCGCGATTCCGGGGCTTAAAGTGGGGGGGCGACCAATCGAAAGGGTGAAATTTTTACACTAATAATATTATAAGGTACACGAGTTATAATTGTGAAAATAGCTTTTATTTTTTATTAAGAAACCTGGAAAATTGTTGCCAGACATTTTTCTCGTAGCTAAAATGCCGACAGACAACGCAAAAGAGGCATGAAATTTTGACAAAAAATATCATCGCATACAGGCGTGCCGATTGGTGGAATTTCATGTTTATTTATTTAAAAAGCCGTATGCAACAGGGCAGACAAAAAAATTGTGGCTCAATCAGCGGTAGAATAAGTGCAAATATTTTCAGAGTTGGTAGATCTCGATAAAAGAAACATATTTTATCTTTACCATTTTCCAAACAAGTCCAAAATAGCCTATGCAAATTTAAAAAGAAATTGATTTATCTGCAGGATCTGCAGTACGACGAATCAGCTACAGTGAGACAGAGTAGTAAATGTATGATATCTGTTATTGAAATCATAAAAGCATATATTTATAATATAATCGTATAGGTACATGGTTTATCTAGTATACTGATTTAGCCACGATCTTTTTTCTGTCCTTTTGTATACGGCTGTTAAAATAAATAAATGACATTCCACCAATAGGCATGCATATATGCCATGATTTTTTTTCAAAATTATACGCCTCTTTCGCGTTGTCTACCGGCATTTCAGCGACGAGAAAAATGTCTGTTAACAATTTTCCACATTTCTTAATAATAAAATAATATTTTAAAAAACTATTTTTGCAATTATAACTCGTGAACTTTATAATATTTTCAGTATTAAAATTTCATCCTTTCAATTGACTGCCCCCGCTTTAAGCCCCGGGATCGCGCTGGCAGACATGACTATTTCATAAGGGCTACACTAAACGATACTTCACAGGAAAAAAAAAATAGCCATATAACGATGATAAGGTTTTTTATGTAGCCAGACTACTAGGACGTATTTCTGAAAAATATTTTAAACTCTACAGGGTGGCTCAAAAAGTGTGAGTGAATCGGGATAATTTTAACCAAACCAAACACCCTGTATATTATAGCTTTGTTGGATTGATAATAAAAACATATTTTTTAAATAAAATTATTATTATATTTTTTGAATATAAATTTAATTTTTAAATTCTCTACAACTCTACAAAAAAGGTATTTTGAAAAATGTCATACGTGGGTAAAAATTATCATATAGTATCATTTGAAATGCCACTCTGACGCCTATTTTCAATCATACTCTATAAAAAAATAATTTTTTATAATTATTTTATATAGCCAAACAGTAAAATTATTTAAAGAACTGACAATAAATAAATAAAATAATTAATATAAAATATATTAAGAAACAACAAAAAAATACTAAACAATATTAAGGATAAACATTCGCGTTACTTTTCTATGCTACAGTACCTCGGCTAGTTTAACAAAAACATCCAAAATAGTTCGGAATCGACCACTGAAGGTTAGTGGATGGTACCGCATAGATTATCGTTTCATACCAACTAACGGACCATGGTGCTAATTTGAATCTGCATACGAAAATTTTCTTCGCGAAAAAAGTATGTGACACAATTTTAATCATATCTTCGCTTTCCGGGTTGCTTTTGCCAAATACATGTAAGTACAACTTATTTTGTTTTTTTAGAAAAATAATTTAATATTGTTTTTCATATATTTGTTGTACTGCACTTCTTTATTTATACTTATGTAGTAGATATAATTTATTTGATATCTTTCTTATTTCAATTATTTTTTCATTTTTATTTGTATAGACATATATTACTTATAGATTATTATAGATTAATTAAAACATATATTTTTAATATTATTTATACCGGGTGCGTCTCAAAAGTATACCTCTATAACTTTTTTATTTTTTCAAATAAAAAACAAGGTTTGGTATCTTAGTATATAACATAAATTAGGATTGATTGACGTATTCAATTGTTTTTGGTCACTTCCTGTTTCACCGGAAATGGCTACAACTTTTTATTTTTAAATGGTACCCTCGCCTCGGTGTATTTTTACTTTATTCGATAGAAACGGACATTAGAATGACATATCATACGTCAATTTTTGACATTTCCGCTGAAAACAAAATTCCATTTTAAATTTCAATTTAGAGGGCCATGGCTGTGTTAAAAATACTAATTTTTAACCAAGGAGCATTGGAAAAATAGATTTGATCGTATGTTTTTCGTGTCCTAACCTGGCCAGTTAAAAAATACTCATATCGTACTTTTAATCATATCTCAACTTTTTCAAATGGAATAAGTGTGGTTCATTAGCATATTTGGAAAAAGCATTTTTTTACGAATAATTTGGTACCACACACTTGGTATTTCGAATCAAATTGCCGTTATGAACCGCACGTTACAATTTCAAATAAACCTTATGCGAAAATGTCACAAGTTGATATTTGATATGTCATTCTATTCAAAGTGCCATTTTTTATCGAATTAGGTAAAAAAATAACGAGGGTCTCATTTAAAAATCAAAAGTTGTAGTCATTTCCGGTGAAACAGAAAGCGACCGAAAACAATTGAATACGTTAATCAATCATAAGTTATGTCATATACTAACATACCAAATCTCGTTTTTTTATTTGAAAAAATAAAAAAGTTACAAGGGTGAGCTACTTTTGAGACGCACCCGGTATACGTACTTATGACGAGATACAATAATTGAGCTTCTAAAAAAATAAACACTTCAATAATAAAAAAATAATAACAGAAAAACTTAATATAAACAATGTATTTAATAAAAATAATATAAGGGTTGTCCTAGAATTTAGGACACCCTGTATATATGTTTTGAAATACAAGTACAGGTATAGTTGCAGATGAAAGAATATACTGTCACTTGTTAAAAGAGAAAAGTATAGAACGCATTATGGCTGGGAATTTTTAAACTATGAAATAAAATAGTTTTTGAAAATAGATTTGTGTGCCTGGAGAAGTTCTATCCTTATTTAATCTTTCTATAGTTGGTGTTAATTTTTGACAAGTTTTATGTTAATTTTTAGTAAATAACGTCTAGAGATTGAACTCGCTAAAAATGTCGATTGATCATCATTCACCAGCCGTCTTTGACGCGGTTTTTTATTTCAACTATACGGTACTATGCACATATTTTTATGTGGCATATTTCTATACGACTTTCTAGATATTTATGTTCCCGAGGTCTAAAAATTTTTTTCTTGAAAAAAAAAACTAATTGTTGAAAATTACGGATTTTTCAAAAATGTTTTGTAAGTTTTTTTTAATTTTAAGATAAAAAATATAATATTTGGATATAATGGCAACACAGGTAGAAGATTAAATTCAGAGAAAGAAAAACCCAGAAAAAATCCAGTGGTTGTCAAAATTTAAGCACAAAATTATTTTTTTTTCAAATTATCAAAGTAAAATAACGTAAAGTAATATAATTTGACTTACGGTAAAGAAAAAAACTTTGTTCAGTTCTATCGGCTCTGAAAATATGTGCAGTTATTTATGACTCACCCTGTATATTATAGGTTTTATTTGACAACATTAAGATCAAAAAGCCATAAAGTTCATTTTAGATTTTTAAATCAATCAAATCAATTTAATTTATGAAGATTTCTGTTTACTTTTATGTTCTGTAAAGTTAGGTATCTTCTTTTTAACAACCTGAATATACAGGGTGCCCCATCAAAAACGTTCCGCAAGGCTTTGCAAAAAAAAATTACCCTTAACGGCCAGGGTAATTTTTTTTTCAGAAAATTCAAAAACACGTCAATTTTGTTGGAGAGGGGGACAATTTTTGCTCCAAAAATGATTGCAAAATCTTCAACCCTCTAAGGGGGGTCAAGTGGTACCGCATTGAAAAGGGCTTTCTATTCTCTATACTTTCCCGCTTCGTTTTTGAAAATCGGTCGAGCCATTGAGAAAATATGAAGGATTGAAATTTGAAAAGTTTATTTAAACATTTATCAGAGTAAATGACAAGGTTATATTCCTTCGACCAATTTGCTGATTTTTCTTATTATTTCTAGATGTTTACGCATTTTTTCACTTGCCACAAGGATGAACGATCGGGTTAGGTAGAGTGTACTTTCTTTTTGAAAGGTGTAGTTAATCGGCACAACTGTCGGTATTGGGCTGAGGACAACCCCAGGGTTTTTCACGAGGTGCACACACAAAACCCTAAGAAATTGAACGTGTGGGCTGGTACTTTTAGAAATTCTATTGTGAGTCCTTTTTTTTTCCTGGAAATCTAACAGGTGATATGTACTTGGATTTACTGGAAAATACCATCGACCCAGCCCTAACTGACATCATAGAGAACAATCCTGGATACGTTGAAGCGGAACTAATATTTCAACAAGACGGTGCACCTCCACATTATTCTCAAAATGTGCGTAATTATTTAAACAATAACTTTCCCGTTCGGTGGATAGGGCGAAGGGGTGCAATTGAGTGGCCTCCCCGGTCACCCGACCTGACTCCTTTAAACTTTTTTCTATGGGGACACATAAAAAGTAAAGTGTATAGCACTCCACCCGCCTCATTAGAATACCTGCGAAGACGAATTATTGATGTTTGTTGCGAAGTGACCCCGCAAGTTCTTCAGAATGTTCTAGAACGGGTTGAAAATAATTTGTATTACTGTATGGAGGTTGACGGGCAACGTTTTCAGCATTTTCTTCATTAATAAGATAAGTTTTTTTTAATTAATTCAATTTATGCGTTTTTTGCAAAAAACGTACTTTTCAAATTTCAGTCTTTCATATTTTCAAAATGACTCGACCGATTTTCGGGGAAATACTTATAAAAGGGCTTCTCGACGAAGCGGGGAAATATAGAAAATAGAAAGCCCTTTTCATTGCGACGCCACTTGACCTTTCCCATTTGAAAAAAGTTGGGGGATGACACCCCCGCTTAGAGGGTTGAAGATTTTGCAATCATTTTTGGGGCAAAAGTTGTCCCCCTCACAAACAAAATTGACGTGTTTTTGGATTTTTCGAAAAAAAAAAATACCCTGGCAGTTATGCCTTGCGGAACGTTTTCGATGGGCCACCCTGTGTGATGTTTTTTCAATTCACAAGAAATATTTCAAATAATATGTCCTTGAAAGTATTATCATTATCATTATCATTAATTTGGGAATACCAACTTGCTGTATTTTTTACAATCATATTATGATCCAAAATTAACACTTCTTTCAAACCGCGACTTTACATATTTAAGTAATATTACAAGGTTATAAGTTGACTTACAAACTTGACTATAGATGTCATTATTAAAGAAGTACCGTATGATAAAAAAATAGTCATTTTATATGTAAAATTTTATGGGGAATGTCATCAACGACCGTCATTCTGGACGCCGTTTTTTTTTGATATAATCCTGTACTATCTACTCAGGAATAACCATAAGTAATTTTAATCTAATTTATTCTACTACAGTAATTTTTTGATCCTGATGAATTGTTGTCGCAAAGTAAGTTGATTGCCTGAGCGTTTTCATATTGGTAAAGAAATATGGGTAAAAAATACGTCATTAACAAACTCCTGGATTTTCATTGAGACTAGTTGAATCCATAAGTCCTCATAAAGATTCTAGCTCAACTTTAATTGTAATTTGACGAAAGAATAAAAAATGGAGAGTCGAAAGTTGTGATGCAATTAGTTTCTATTTGATAAGTAGATGACAGAATCACAGTCTTGCCCATATATTTCATATGGAAAGCATCCGCCATCTTGGATTTTGTTTTCTGCTATTGGCGTGCTCTCTGCATTTTTCGACAAAAGGGGTTATAAACAAATATGTAAAGAATAACCTTCTCTACATCTTCTGCATGAGTAGGTATGTAGAAACAATATTATTTACTGCTATTAATTAAAATAGTGTCAAAAATTATTACACATCATTTCTGATACTGTAAGGGACACATTTTATTGAGAAAGTTGTAGAGGACTTAATTCTCTCAAATTTCAGTATTCTATTTTATTTCGTTTAAAAAACAGTGCTAGAATTTTTTAATTTTAAAAGAAAGTTGACTTTTAAAGAAAATTTTATTTGTTTAATATATTATTTACTTAAAAAGAATAAAATGTAAAAATAAAATGATAATATGATATGATAAAAATAGGAAGTATCCTAAATAGTCGACAATAAAATTGCAAATATAGCATATTGGTTCAATGATTAAATTTCTGGTCTGCATATAAAGTATTATATACTATGAAATAAGGATATTAAATATTCATTTTAATATTAAAAATGTACTGTTCTCTAGCTCTATTCTATTATGTTAGTGCTCTTTAGAGTTATTTGAAAAATGTGGATATAGTCTTCATATCTTAATAAAAATTAAACAATAATTAAAAAAAAATAATCATAGGTAAAAACTAAAAAAAAGATGAGTCGACCAAAATGCACAGGAGCAAAATATTAATTGACATTGAATTTTTTCAAACATACTTCCATGAATTTATTATCAGATTTATTTCACTTAGCTGATATATACTGTATCTATGATCTATGCCCAACATCCTTAGCTAAATTAATAATACACTAAAAGATTCAATCAGAACCACGCAATTAGTGGAAAAAATTAATGGTTTAAATTAGCGTAGAAGTTTGTTTCCT